TGAAGAACCCTGTATGACTGAAATTATTTTTAAATTGTTGTTTTTTCTGATATACATGTTGTTTTTTAAAAATCATAAAGTTTTGGCTCTACAGACCAGGGCGTTACCGATGGCCCACCCTATATAAAAAGAATGTCACACTTACCATAATTTATTTCACATCTACCAACTCCTTAATACAAATTGGCATTGATACATTATTTTTAAGCAAAACAAATTTTTTCGACTTATATGTATATTTCAAAAGTAAATAGATAAAGATTTCATAATATTTAACTACTATCATCAAATGACCAGGATATTAATCACAAAATGTTGTGGGAACCAACGGTTTCAAAATTTATTATCAATTATTATTTTATTATAAAATATTTAAAGATGTCTTGAATTTTATTATTTTATATGTAGGTTTAAAACTTACACATTCATTATCCAAAGGACACCGCACTTATTTCCTTATTTTCTGAAACTTTGGTTTGTTATTGTACTCTCAATCTAATAACCAAAAGTGTCAATAGGCTCAACTCAATCCAATGACTAGTCTTCGATACACAGGATGTTAAAGTTGAAAATTGCCTAGTTTTCGAAATTTTAAATTTTAAACGTACGAGGGAGATTGAATTTCTGTCGAATACACACGTTTAGTACATGTTTTAGTAATACATTAGAACATATGTACAATATTAAAAATATACATACGAGCCCTAACACAAAAATGTTCGGACATCAACTGATTTTTCGTAAAAGTTTGAAAATTTCCTTAAGGGATTCAATATCATGTTTTTCATTTATAAGACATAATATGTATTGTTTTACATCATATTTATGATATTGTTTTCAAATAAACTGATATTGATCAATAAAACTAAGCTAATGTTGATAATAATGCATATTTATTGACACATAAATGTTCGGACAAATCACATCAATAGCTGGTTGCATCTCTCTTTGCCTTAATAACAGCTTTTATTCTATCAGGCATAGTTTTAACAAGCTTTTCGCAATCTTCCGCAGTAAAAGAATCCCATATATTTTGCAATTTTACCCGCAAATCAGAAATGTTGCGCTGTGGATAATTTCTTAATTGCTGCTTCATCTTGTGCCATACAGTTTCGATTATATTTAGATCAGGGCTGCTGGAGGGCCAGTCAAGGACGGAAATATTGTTGTCCTGCAGCCACTTTCTTGTAGTCTTGGCTTTACGGCAGGAGGCGCCATCTTGGTGAAAAGTAAAGTTTCCATCAGGTGATAAAATTGGAATTGACACTAACAAATTGGTTTCAAGAATGTTCTGATATTTTCCTGCATTTAAAATTCCGTCTATAAAGTGCAGTTTTCCAACACTGAAACCAGACATGCTTCCCCATACCATAACACCTGATGGAAATTTTATTTTTCTCTTTAGGCAGTCTTTGCGAAAGGCTTCATTTTCGTTTCTTATAACACGTGATCGATGGTCACCCACGCAAACATCAAATTTTGATTCATCGCTAAAAATGATTCTTTTCCAGTCTTCAAATGTCCACATTGCCCGTTCCTTTGCCCACGCTAATCGTCTTTTCTTTTGTTTTTTCGTTAGCAACGGCTTTTCTTTTGCCTAAGCCAATGATTTCACTGCATAAATATGAGATTTTCCTTAAACGTAACCTACGTACCTTATAAAAATGTAAACCTGACTTATGGATCCAGCGACGACACGTTTCTTGTGAAACATTTCCAATTATTTCTTCATTCCATTTTGCTGTTATTTCCCTTACAGTACTTCGGCGATCAGTTTTACAAATCCGAACAAGAGATCTTTGCATTCGGGAAGTGAATTTGCGTGGCCGACCAGCACCATGTCTTGAAATTTGAGTTGAACCCGTTTCTCCATATTTTTTCACAATATCTAACACCGTGGACTTTGCGACATTTATTTGTTTAGCAATATCCCGAAAGGTTTTTCCTTGGTCAAACAGTTTTACTATTAATTCTCTAATTGCACCATTTGTTGCTTTACCACGCGACATTCTGGAGCCAATTGATAATCGAATTAATTCTCAAGTTAAAATGTCAAAATAGAAACACTTTTTTTTGTTTCCATGGCTTGCTATTATTTGTTTTACTAACGTGTCCGAAGATTTATGTGTCAGCAAATATTGCATTTTTATCATCATTAGTTTAGTTTTATTAATCAATATTAGTTTATTTGAAAACAATTTCATAAATATGATGTAAACAATACATATTATGTCTTATAAATGAAAAGCATATGATATTGAATCCCTTAAGGAAATTTTCAAACTTTTTCGCAAAATCAGTTGATGTCCGAACATTTTTGTGTCAGGGCTCGTATACCCGTATATAGTTTTTATAAAATCTCACTAATTTTACTGTGACGTCAGGAAAGCAAGGACCATTCACTGTCTATCAATCCTAAGAAGACAGAAATGGTCCTTTTCACAAGAAAAAGGATGAAAATGGATTTAAAACCTCCAGAACTAAATTTTGCGGCAGAGGTGAAGTACCTAGGTCTCACCTTAAGTTAACATGAAACTTGCATTTAGAAAACAGAGTTAAAAGAGCATACATTGCTTATGAATAATGCCGCCAAACCGTGAGGCGCACCTGGGGTTTCTCCCCCAGAGTCGTCGCATGGACTTACACGGCTATCATAAGACCTATGCTAACATACGGTGAAGTTGTCTAAGTACCAAAAACCCAAAAATTAACAGCTATCCGTAAACTAGAACAATTCAGTTCAATAATTATGTACTAAGCCAAAAAAAATCCAAAATTAAGTTCTTATCAATTAGTGATAATGACAGGCAAACAATATTTGATACCTTTTGGCAATTTATTTATTTATCAGAAACATACAGGTTGCCCTAATTATTGGTTTCTGAAACAAAAATTATTTTATAATGACGTAGCAACTTTCTGCAATATAATACTAATACAGTAATAATAATAATATGTGTTAATGTGTTAAGATCTAGTTTAAAATAGGAGGCTAGTACAAAGACAAATATATTTTGTATAATTAGGTAATGCGTACATTGGATGTGATATACTTTTTAAACAAGGACAGTGTTATTCCAAATAATCCAGGACAGATATCTGTGATGTATGTGTTGTATAACTGGCATATTTGATTTAAAGTGATGTTGTTGGTTTTAGTGAAAAATAGTTGTGTCCTGGGACGAGTTATATGATTAGCCACATAAAAGTTAATTTTACTTAATAGATTAGGAGAATCAATTAGATGGTTACATAATTTATATAGAAGTATTAAACGGCGATGGAGTCTTCTATTCACCAGTTTTATAATTTTGAACTCTGATCTTATTGGTTGGTAAGATATATGACCGGGAGAGGTTTTGTACCTCTTGTAATATAAATATTTCAAAAATTTATTATGAATCGTTTCAATTCGGCCAGTTAGAGTTTTACTTTAATTATTGCAGATTACGCTACCAAATTCTTGTTTATTTCTTACAAGAGAGCAGAATAAATAGTTAATGGAATCAATATTATTAAATTCTGATGTTGTACGTTTTATAAATCCTACTGATTTATTTGCCAAAGAGACGATTTTTTGGACAAAAAAAATAATTTTTTAATATTATATTTTTACCATAGATATCATGAAGCTTAGAGATTTTCGGTATAAAAGTGTCCTTTGACCAAAATACAAAATATCGAGGAAACAAGCGATTCATTTTTCACTTTATTTAACAAAAAAGCTATTATTTATCCCCCAATAAATTTAAAAAAACGGTAGAAGACGAAAATTTTTACTTTAATCAAGATAGTTTATTACATAAAAAAAATCTTTAAATGAAGATAATTTCCTGACTGTAGTAGAATTTTATACATATAAAAATTTTTCCTTTTTTATTAAGTTATTAAGCACAACATATGTTTCGGAAAATAGTTTTTTCATCTTCTGGTGCAGTCAATTTATTTTTAAAAAACAAGGGGGACGAAAACAAATAGATTAAAAATTGCTAAAACCTTATCTTTTGTTTCGTAGCGTGTCTTGGTGTATTTGAAATAAAATATTGATTTAATTTAACATGATAGTTAGGGAAACAAAAAGTTGAGTTTTTATAAATTTAAAAATTAGCAGTGGCGTTACAATAAAGGTTTAAAAATTAAAAAGCTTACAATTAGTTAATTAAATTAAAATATATATTTGACAGATCTTTTATGTCAGTTTTATTATTTACAGAATTATGGTTTGGTTCATTTTCAAGATTTCTTACATTTTTAAAATCGAAAGAATGCAAATTTTCCAATGCGTGTTTTGTTAAGGCAGTGGAATTTTCATTATTAGTAACAATATTATTTTTACGATTTTTTATTTTGTTATGTAGATATGGTTTTGTGTGTCCAATGTCCAACAAAAGATGGGGTTTTAGCATTTTAAAAAATTTTAATGTTTGTTTTCGTCCCCCTTGTTTTTTAAAAATAAATTGACTGCACCAGAAGATGGAAAAAACTATTTTCCGAAATATATGTTGTACTTAATAACTTAATAAAATATTTGACCGAATAAACCAATGAAAAATTTTTATTTATATAAAATAAAAAATTCTGTTTCTCCATTAATAATATTAATAAAAATATGGAAAATTCGTTGGAGAAAAAAGAATCAACTTTTCGAAAAGGAATTCCTATCAGACCGGATGTGAAGCTGCGGTAATATCATTCAACAAGGGAGCAGAATATTATGATATACTCCATAAGACCCTAACAGGAAATGAGCCCAATACATACACAAAGAAATATTTAAAAATAATTGAAAAAAGGAAACTGAGATTAGGAAACTAAAGTAATAAAGGAGCGTCGACAAGAGCTGCGATTGAAAAAAAATACGCTTTTCCAGATAGGGACTGTGATAATATCCACGAACCTATTCCTGATATGGATGAAAATGAGTATAATTTGAGAGAACTGGAATTTCTAAATATGTTAAATAAAATGCAAGAAGAGATTAATACAATAGAGGATCTTACCAAGGAACAGACCTCTTCCATCCAAAAGGATAACCGCATCAAATTTTGTAAAAATGTGTAAACTAAAAGCAAACACTAGCAGCATCAACTCAATTAAAGTATTATTATACAACAAATTTAAAGGCAACAACGCGACCCAATATGGGAAATTAAACGAGCCATTTGCAATCGAAGATTTTGAGGCAATCTCCAAACACAAAGTAAAAAAATGTGGGCTATTCATCGATAAAGAATATAGTTTTTGGGTGCTAGTCCAGATGGAGTGGTGGATTACAACGCCATTTTAGAAATAAAGTGTTCTTTGAATATTAAGGACATGAGTCCAGAAGAAGGCATACGAACAAAATAAATAAATAAAATATGCCAAACTTGAAAATGATTCCTTCGCATTCAATAGAAGACATGAATATTACTTCGAGGTACAAGAGCAATTAGCAATAACAAAAAAAATGCTACTTCGTTATATGGAGTCCAAAAGGTTGCTTAATTGAAGAGGTAACTAGGTGTTAATTAACTTCTTTTTTTAACCTTATTAATGTCTTTGTTTTAGATTTATAAAGATAAGAACTTCTGGTTAAACGAAATGCTTCCGAAATTAAAAATATTTTTTTTCAACTGTCTTCTTCCGGAGCTAGTTGATCCAAGGGAAAAAAGGAACTTGAACATAAGAGAAAACTGTAGAAAATAATTAGGAAATGTAAATTTATAAAAAAACAAATAAATATTTCACTCATATATAAAAAGATATTTTTTTTATATCGCATTCCATCCATGTCACCTTTTATTCTTCCCTAAATATTTTTTCCGTGAAACATTATCAAAACTCGAAAAAATATTTCTGAAAACTGTTTCGAATAATTCCAAAACGACATTTTTGCTTTCCTCCTACAATCTTCAAAACCGATAAATGAGATGCAATGCTTATTATAAAAATCTGATGTGTCCAACACATGACTTTCCTATCTAGTTATTATAGGCTGTTTCCGGTTTTTTGCACAACCTATTTCAGCACCTCTATAAATGTTTAGAGGCTATACTAAATATATACATTTTCCACATAACTCGACACATTTTTCTATAATATATATTCCATAAAATGTAAAAACGGCCTCCCATAAAGTACCCCCCCCAGATGTTCCGCCTTTGTCCAAAATCTTATCATTTCACCTCAGGCCGAAATAAAACTTAAGTTTAAAATTTCATGTTTTTTCCTTTATCCGTTTATGAGTTTTCTTCAAAATTCGAAATTTACACATTTTATAATAATAATAATCTCTAAAAATAACTAATTGCTTGAATAATATTAAATGAAAAATGGAATAAAGGTGTTCATAAAATATAAACAAATATAATATAAATAATGTCAGTCCCCAAATGAACGCCAGTGACATTTACGACAAAACTGACAGTTCAGTTTATTTCCTTTTACGTCAAATCAGGTCCTTTCGATAGGTTTTTGATGGTTATCAGATCACGTGGGTTTCGGGTATTGTTGAAGACCTGGTACTATTGGGATATAAAATTAAGATCGCAGCGCCGTCATTTATACTAAATGTAGTAGCTTGTTATTGTTTACATTTTTAAGTATACATTTTGTTTTTAAATTACTTTAATTTATTTATGTTAATTTAAGATTATTTTGTTGTCTTTAAATAAAATATTAGTATATTTATTCTATTTTTAGTGATTTGTCTTAAATAAGGCTAAGTTTAATAGAACTTATGAAGTATCTTGGCTCGTATTGTTAGGATAAAACTTTTAGGTTGTTATTATGAAGACTACAGTCTTTATAATTGTTAGTTGTTGACTGACAATAACTTCATTAAAAAGTAAGAATAGTATTTTTATTAAATATAAAAATACCTACAATTAAAATAAAACCAAACCTTCGACAGTTCATGGACCCAGGACTACACCCAATATAAAAATAAAAAGTTAAAATGAAAAAAAAAAAAAAACAAAAACTGAAGATGAATTCAAGAAACGCTAAAATGGTGGTTCCCACCTTATCGAGACTGAGGCCCACAAAGGTAAACTCGTAGCGTAACAAAAACGAGAAATGATTTAACTTGGAACGAAATACCTAAAGCCGATAGTAATATTAGCACGTTGAATTTTTTGGTTTGTGAAGCATTGGCATTACTTAAGTTAAACCATGTGATGATATTCACAAGCCTCGATTTTTAAAATCATTCTATAGTGCCTTTTGATTAGGGTTTAAAAACTTGTTCGAGCAATTTATCCAATAATAATTGGTCCCTTTACCTTTTAAGCCTGCTCATGTAAAATATTTGGGCTCCTTACTTCGCCTATTTATATTCTATTAATAAAAGACAGAAGGATGAGTATTGCAACTATGTTAAAAGAAATAAATTGGCTTTCAGTTCAGAATTATGTTCAGTACATGACTGATATTTATTTATAAAACAAAAATGACATAGTACCATCGCATCAGATCTATTTGAAAAAATTCAATATAATTCGCAATATCATAACTATAATACAAGAAGCCAATCTGACTTTTATGTACAGGAAGCCATCACTAAAAGTTCCCAAATACCATTTTTATTAAAGGTTTAACAAATTTAATAGAAAAAAAAAAAAAATACGTGTGGCACTCGGGGACTGCCGCGGTAAAGCTATTGCATAGGATTTTTTATCAACTTATGCAATTATAATTATTTATTTATTTTATTTATGCAGTATTTTTTTCTTTGATATTAATTCAACTTACACTTTTTAAGTGTGGTGACCGATAAAAAAACAATTTTTTTTCTTTTATTGAATAAATGAGAAGTTAATATTGTTTAAAATATTTTTATTATCTTACAATACATGTAGGTTATTCAGGAATTTTTATCATTGAAACTATAGGTTTATGGTAACTGAAATAAGAAACATAAGTTTGAGACTTGATATCCTCTAAATATCTGGAAAACATCGCGTCAATGGTGGTCCCATATTTTGTTGTGGATTCTTGTTATTCATTTTCAAATTCAATTTTTTCAAAATTGTGTCTAAAAGAGATAGAATCAGTTATGAGCAGTTAGCAGCTAGTCTACACGCATACTTCTAGTCGCACACACACAAACACCGTGCCGAAGTCTGCCGAACTGAAGCGACGTTAGACGATGCAAAGCTTTCAACGTCGCACCACTGTGCCGGTCGGAGTAGGGGGGTGTTAGGTTAGGTTAGGTTGCCAGATGTACAATAATTTATACGATAATTTCACAATTCTTTCTCGGACGAATTTAATTTTAAAGTGGGTGAAATATACAATGGTGAAATGCAGGAAAGGGAAGGAACTTTATTGCATTCCGATGTAATTTGAATCCTAATGACCTGGCATGAATGTATGGTACGTACGTAATATTTGCGGATTTGGCTTTCTTCTTCTGAATGTTATTTTATCTTTGCAAGAAATCTAATTTTTGAGTTAACACGTTGACTGCTATGTGCATGTTCCATTAGTGAGTAATTGTTCAATAATTTAATTTGTGTTAAAGACACGCAAACATGTTTCAAAGAAAAGTTATATGGATTTGAAAAATACATATTTTAAAAATATTTTTGGATATACAGGGTGTTACATTTTGCCCGGCCTATTCTTAAAATAGAACATGTATTTTATTTTAATTTTAGAATGGTTTGGTAATACTGTATTCAACCCTAGAGTAATTTAAAAAAATATTACAGGTTGGCTTAGCAGAATTAAATTTTAATGAAATTAGAGAATGATGCAGACGCCAAATTAAATTATGATAATTTAGGTAGAATTACATTGATTTCAAAATTGTTTAATGTACTGACTTACAAAACATTAACATAAACATAACGAATAGTGGTGATAGTGCTGGATTCTTTTATACAGAGTGTTTTGAAACATGTCTAAAATATGGTTACTTTTAAGTTCAAATTACTCAATTTTTTCAAAGGCAACGCCCGAAATAATATTTTAGCATACAATTCCTTATAAATTTGCCTATCCAACGATACCAACATGTTAGAGAATAACATTTATACAGTTCGTAATTGATCGATAGCTGTTTTATTATTGTAAATAAGAAAAAAAATAATACGAAAGTATGACCCTATTTAAAAATTACTCCTAAATATACAGGGTGGTCCATAAACGAGGTGTCATACAACATGGTCATAAAACTGTTATATTAACTTTTTTCGTATTTCCTATTATAAAACTGCTATCGATCAATTACGCACTCATGGGACACCCTGTATATGTGTTATTGACTAACATATTGGTATCGTTGGATATTTAAATTTATAAGGAATTGTATGCTTAAATAATATACAGGGTGTAGCATTTGAAAAAACTAAATAAATTTAACTTGTAATTAGCCATATTTAAGACATGTTTTTCAAAATACTCTGTATAAAATAATCCAGTTTTATCACCACTATTCGTTAGCTTAGTATCTTATTACTGTTTTAAAAAAAAATGAAATCATTGTAAACCTACCGAAATTATGATAATTTAATTTGGGGTCTGCATCATTCTCTAATTTTATAAAAAAAAATTATTTATTGGCAACCCTCCAATATTTGTTAATAAAATTCTAGAATTAAATATAGTATTACCAAAGCATTCTAAAACTGAAGTAAAATACAGGGTTTTCTATTTAAAATATATACCTTTTTATTTGTCAGAAAAAAACGCAAAACCCTCTATGTCTAAAAATATCTTTAAAATACCTATTTTTAAAATTCATATAACTTTTATTTAGAAATTGTTTACGTGTCCATAACACAAATTGAAATATTGAACAATTACGCACTAATGGGATAACCTGAATATATTATTCACACCCAACTTTCCCATCGTGCCATGTGCATACATATTATTCACAAGCAGCGCTTGATTTTAGGCCACGTATTTATAAAATATGCACATGTACCGTGCATTTCTTATGGAGAATCTGTTGAATAGGCGTGGAATTAACAATATTAATATAGGTTGGTGTCGTTATATCTTTTTTTTGTTACATAATTATATGTGACAA